AGGCTCTAGTTATATTTTCTCTTGCAAAATAATGTTTTCATGACAAATGTCCTTTGTGACAGATTTCGACCAAATGTCTGGATTTGATATAGATTCATGCCATAATGAACTACTGAAGTTGACAAAACCAGGCAAACATGTTCTTAGTTACCCATATGTAGAAATGTTTAAAAGGCTGTTCCTCAAGTAATATACTAGCATCCAAAAGAAATACCGGAGCACTGCTAAAATTGCTCAAATCCCAGGGCATCTTTTAAATTCATATAGAGCACTGAAACTGTAAGTTAAGAAAATTATATGCTTGGGGAAAAAAAATCCACTGTTCATTTCCTCATCACAGATCTTCTGGATTTAAGGATGGGCCACAGACAATATCGCTGAAGGAAGGCAGGAAACAGGAAGCAGAGCATGGTCAAGAATTTCTTTCAGGGCTCCCAGTTCAGTCCTGCAGGGAGCATTCTGGATTAGCATCCTAAGCAATGTTTGGCTGGCAGCTATAGAAAGAATGACTCTGTAAGTTGCAGGTAACAGCTCAGACGGTTTCAGGTCATTTTCAAGTAGTGAACAGTGCCACCACAAATTAAATATTTTTGCTGGGCCTCACCCTTCTTTTATAACATGCACCAGGTAAAGACCACTACTGAAGAAATACCTACAATTATGTCATCCCCTGTCCTGATCCTGGGGTACCTATCTGTAATCTTACGTACCACGTTAGATTCAAAAGCCAAAGTAAACTGGGGGCAGAAGCAGCAACTGCAACGGATTCTGTATGTCCAGAATCGCCCCTTTTCTTGCCATGCTTTGATTCTATGTTTCCACAGTTAGGACTGCAGCTTCTGGGCTTGATTAAGGTGGTGCCTAAGAACTTCTGATTATGGTACAGACTCCTGATGTTAAAAGGGCTCTGGTAGACAATTGCATCTTGTTCTTGTTGGAATGTCACTGACCATGAAGGTAAGTGCTTGCACCTTCCCCCATTTGCTCCCCCGTAAAAGATCGCCCTTGCTCCCTTGTAAGATCCGTCCCTGTGTTTTTCCATCATCTTTCTCCCACTATTACTTCTGCAGTCAGTTCTCCTCTTCCAATATTTTCGTGTTCTGTTCCTTCATATGAGCTTCATAACTGCTTCTAGTGCAAGCAGGGGGTTTGCTGGTCTGGGTAGGACTCTGTATCTTTAGGACGGTTATATGAGAGCTACTTAAGATTTACTTGTTCAGTTGCACAGTAGTTCATGCTACATATTCCATTTGATAATTAATAAAACCTGTCTTTTTCTGTTATACAAGATGGAGCAGTTAAATAAAAAATACAAAATACAAATGATAGCCTGAGAAGATCTAAATCATCGGTTTCTCCCCGTGTCTGCAAACAATTGAATGCTAATCCAAAGAAAATGAGAAGATCTAATTTATGACTACACTTAGTCATCCTTAAATAGTTAGGCAAATGAGGCTAAAAGTCAGACCATGACACAGTCAGCAAACAGTTTCTAAGATACGCCTTTCTGTAAAATGACATTTTATTTGGGAAGAAAATAACTCTTCTGTGATTTCAGATTTTTCAACGTGACAATAATTGCTTGGCCTTTTTTCTGCCAGAATAACGTGAAAAAACAATTTCACTGTACAAATTTGCCAAGTTCAATAGAAAGCAACTCCTTGCCACTGTATGTTTATGACATTTTAACTGAATATACATCCAGTTTTTATTAAGAAGTGTTCAGCATTTCATGTGAGGGAATGCTTCAGATTACTTCTTACCTACTTTAATCCATCTTTGTTTTCACAGAGCTTGCTGAGAATGGAAATAATGTAGTCAGTGGAAATATATTTAGAAGAATAGGCAAGAAAAACATTTTGCTTAGCCTCATTTATGTCATAAATTGATGAATTTCCACCATTTCAAGTATAGAAAGGTGCAACAAATTTAATCTTTTTTTCAATGCGAGATAGAACACAAAGCAAGACAACAGAGAAAATCAAAATTATCTGCCTTTATGAGATCTGTTTAGATCATCAAAATGGTTGAACCCATTTTAAAAAGCCTTGCTTTCTAGGTTGAGTAAAGCAGGTTATTATACAGGGAATAGCTGCAATTTAAACACAGGGCAATTTCTTGCTTCTGTACTAGAATATGACATTTATACACATATGCAGCACCCACAGGGAGTGAGGATGAAATAATTAATCTGTACTTAGTGCTAGTTTTATTTCTTCCAAGAATTATTGTCAGTTTTGGAATGTTTCTTATGCTTTCTTTCTGGAAGATAGAAAACA